CAAGAACAAAAATACCGTTCCTTAAACTGAGAAAAGATAAAGATGATCCGTCCAATTCAAAAGGCGCACAATTTAAAAAACATTAGATTACCAGTATCGGTTATCTTTTGAGCAAAACATAGCGAAGAAGTGTACGAAATCAACATTGTATTCTGCAGACTAAATGTATAATCAGAGCATCTGTATGAAATATGCAATGCCAAAATCAAGAATAGGCCTGATATTTTCAAAGTTATATTTACAGTGTGGGTAAGAACATGGACACGCCTTATGTAGAAAACCAGTAAGAATAGTTAGTCATGCTGAGTTAAATGACAAAAATACGAAAATATTCTACTTTTTATTTCCTAAAAAACTTCTCTACACAATAACAATAATAAAAAAACTAATTTGGCTTTACTGTTCCATCACTATTGCTGTCGTTTGAGATATCAAGTAATTGACCGAGCAAAACTCTTCGCTGCAATAAACAGAAAACAAATTAAACAATTAAGGAGTCCTCAGGGAAAAAACGAACCTCAGAGACAACTGTGTGAGTATTCAGAGTTTAAAACTGAGCTGTAGTTTTCGCAGAGTTTGCATACTAAAATATTTTGATATCTCATCCCACTTGCAGTTTATTCGATCAACTGTTTTAAAATTTCTCCTTCGGTACATGAACGAAAAACAAGAAATTTTCTTTCTTCTACTTTAACTTTCTAACAAAAACTGCTCTACTTCAATCGATTCTCTCCTTCGCTGCTCCACTATAATAGCATAACAGCGCAATCTAAACGACAATAACTACGGGTGCAGAGATACAGGCAGCAAAGATATTTGATTTTAACTCATCATTTACTTTCCTTCAACATTCATCTGACTTAGGATATATTGCTCAAAGATCATGCCAATTCAAAACTTATGGCTCATGCTAACAGGTTTTTATTATGAATGAAAGTAGTACCTGTTGCATCACAGTGTAATTTGGTCTCGTTTCCGGCATATTCCCTAACATGTCATAAACTTTGTCCAAGAAATTTGATTCCTTCTCGCCATTGTATGTGTCCTAAAATAAAAATCATAATATTAAAAGCGATAGATGTTGGTTGCGGTTTCTACGTTACTTTCAAAACAAAAATGATTGCATCCAAAAATCTAACACCATTTTCATTATGTATGACATCATACAACTCCGTCCACCTCTTCTCATTCTCTTCAACAATAAGCTGTAGTTCCACGTAATCGAACATATATCTTGAATTATAAAAGCTTTGATAGATAACGGGAGTCCGACACGATAAATTACCACTTACCCAACAAATTCATTATCGGTTAATTCATGAAATCCTTTACAAAACTCAATGGCAAACTTATCTAAGAAAAAATATCAGAAACGTCCTTCTTGAATGCTCTCAAGTTTTTGTCAAACACAGATACTTCTTTTTTATTTACCTTTACTAAAACGGCAATCAACATTCCATTGTTGATTACTTTTCTTGGGAGTAACGGACTTGAATCCAATTGACAGTAATTG